AAGCTATGAATTCGAACGTTTTGATTGACATTAACAATATCGGTTTATCTTCCAGTGTTACGAAGGCAAACCACTGTTTGAGATTGATCGGGCGAGAATCTTGAGATCAGGATTAGTTGGTTTCACTCTCCATGGCTCTTTGTCTCATTTCTATTACCAATTCTGCGAGGTGCTTTTCCCTTTTCAAGATTGGTGGGTTGTTCCTGTAAAAGTCGTGTTCGATCAAACTGTATGGTCTGCTATATGGAACAGTATTTACTTCACGGTTCTTGGTTTTCTTCGTCTTGAATCGCCTCTCAGTATCTTCAAAGAATTAAAAGCTACCTTCTTGCCTATGTTAACAGTAAGAAGCTTTCCTTCCTCTCGCACTTACGTAGTTTCAAGAATTAAACGTAGTTTGGTTTTGAATGCAGGCTGGGTGGAAGCTTTGGCCATTTGCTCATTTGATCACATACGGTTTGGTACCTGTAGAACAACGGCTTCTCTGGGTTGATTGCGTGGAGCTTATTTGGGTCACTATACTTTCGACGTGAGTATCATCAAACTAAAAGTCTTCAACTTTTCTAAAAAACCTATCGTTTTTCTTCTCTTTGATCTCATATTGTGTTCTTGATTTCAGTTACTCAAACGAGAAATCAGAAACTAGAATCTCGGATTCTGCCATTGAATCCTCGTTGAGTTCGACTACATCCATTGATCCCTCCAAGGTACTACTTACATACAAAAAAAGCATTCACCTTTCGCATTTCGATACACAAGAAAATCGATCTAACACGACTTCGTTGTTTTGGTTTCATGACAGGAATGAGAAAGCAGAAAGCCAAAATTCGGTTTTATCGCTATCGTATTGTATATATATACACAGAGTTAGCCAATAAAGTGGCTAAGAGATCTGAGATTGTTACAGAGGAAATGAAAATATTCAAATAGATGGATCTCTTTATGTATAAGAAAAGAAACAATAACCAGAATCTGAATGCACCACCCAAAAAAAAAAAAAACATTATAATTTTATAAAACAGATCACAGAGTTCTCTAATTGGCTTTGAAAATTTAGTCTTCTCGATACAAAATCAAACAATCCAAAACTTTTATTTACATAACAAGAAGTTTAAAAAGGTTTTCTTGAAAATTTTGATAAATCAAGAAGAAGACATATTACAGAGTCGACTTGGAGTTGGTCGGAAATTCCACCACCGGTGGTGGTGGCTCACACGGTGGTGACTAGGCGGCGTTAAGGCTCTTTTGAGAATCTCTCTGNTTCCATCACTTGCTCTTCTCATTAACTTCTCTCTACTTGGAACCATATAACCATGACGTACACACCGAGCCGAACCAGGCCGGCCTGAGCACGTGCAAGCCAGCCTGGTCCTTAGACCCGAACCGTGGTTTCTCCGGCCGGTTCGGCTCGGTTCGATTGTTGGCATTTCTAGACCTTCTCTTGGTGGAAATCTTCTTCTAGCAATCTGCATTAATCTCTGTTTTCTTACAACTTTACGAGTAGAAAATAAAAAAAATCAAAATTTTGTTCTATTTGGTTTGCATGATTTATATATTTATATTGGAAGATTTGAGGAACAAGAAGATCGTTGACGTGGTTGGTTTTATTACAGAGGAATGACAGGTTAGTCTGGTCTGGTCTGGTTTCAATAGTTTAATATAATATTGAAATTTTTATTGTTGTTGTGTGAATATTTTATAAATTTTGTTTAGAAAAACAAAAACAAAATTTAAAGCTTTTCGCAAGCTGAACATTTTTGCCAACTAATTTCCTAATTGTATTAGCTGTAATGAAAAATAAGTAACAAAGTTTTTTAGCACTTTTAGTCGTTTTTTGGGTGTCACAAGGTACTC